TTGTGGTTTTTAAGGATGAATTTTGGTATGGTGTGTTTATGAAAAGATGAAATTATTGTCCGATCAAGTTATTTTAAACTTCATTGTTGGATTTTAAATATTATTGAGCAGGTAGTTGACATTTCCAGGTTTTTTTGTGAATTTAAGAACATCTAATGTTGGTGTTTTATATTCTATGCTTCAACTGATTGACCACTTATTTGGTTTACTTATTTTGCTTGTTTGTTTTATCGTTGGGATGGTGTACTTGTAAACAAATATTAATATGCATATTGCTAAGTCTTTATTTGATGCTGAAATCAACCAACCATGGCTTTCTCTTGTCATAGATTTCTCTTTCTGTAATCCAAGGAATAGCTGGTAGGTTAAAGCTAAGGCAGACTGATTCAGGGAGTGGATTTGTATTTTCTTGTAATTTTCTTTTTCAACGTTATCTGACCTTATTTTGGATAAGTTGGTCAGGGTACTCATCTTTTGAGATATTAAGAAGTTTTTGCAAGGTATGTGTTGCTGTCACAAGCTTTTCTGGACTCCGATCAAAGGTTTTGGGTGCATCGGCAGCTAGCCTCCTAGATAGAATGGCCTTGGTTTCTTTTGTGAGTCAAGGAATGAGAGAATGGATTTTACCAGTGGGAGAGGATGGGGTGTTAGGGAGTTGGTTTGTGGGGTTTGACGATTTTTGATCTCAGAACAATCTTTTGCTGCTTAGGTAGTTTTTATTTGAACATAACAACGGTCAAAGTTATGTCTTGTATGTGACATTTTATTCACAAATTTTATTAGGTCAAATCCATCTTTTTTTAGCATGAACCTTTTCATTTGTTTTCCCGACAGAGTATGATAACATTTGTCTTTTGTTATTCCAGTCTTTAAACTATACTATTGGGGCATTCCTAAATGTGGTGATATCCTGTTAAGCTTGGCTAACATCGTAAATTTTGCAGGCCAGTATGTGCAGAACATGTGTTTCCAGTGAGATGCCATTGTGTGCGTTCGTTATATGTAGCATCTGGTTGCTTTCCTCGTCATTCAACTCAATTTTTTTTTTCTCATCCTATTAAACCATGCAGTTTTTCTCTCGTCAGTGCCTTGTGCTTCTTAACCCCAACGTTAACTTTTAAAAAATGGGTAAATTACCTATACGTGATAAGTTTGAACTATAATTTACTTGTGGATACTCTGTTTCAGAATTTCAGATGTCGTTGACAGATTTTAAAAAAGGATTATAATGTTTGCATGGTCTAATTTGTTGTTGTTGTTATTGTTTCTTTCTTCTATTTCTGCCTTACTCTGTTTTTCTTCAGAACTAGAGTTGTTCTGGGTTCATCTTTTTAATCTTGGGAGCTCTATGGAAATTTCTACCTTTGTTTGAAGATTTCAAAGAAAAATTGGATAAATTTTAGAAGGCGAAGAAAGAAGAGAGATTAAAAGGGGAACTTTTAAATGGGTTTATCAAAGTCAGGAGAGATTGGTGAGAAAAATATTGAAATATAGGAAGAAGTTTAGTGGCAAAAGTGTCTGTCCGAATCTTGTGTCGAGGAGCTTCAATTTCCTTCATGGTTTTTCTTGTTTGGATCAAATAGGTGATTTCGTGTCTGATTAGGAGAATTTATTTCTTCTCAGAGATCTACTGAGATTGCGTTTCGTTAAATTTTGCTGTTCAAAAAGAGGACAGTGAGGAAGTATGAGTAAGTGAGAAACTTGAGGGTACTTGTTGAATCCAATCATTGTTCCTGAATCCGGGGGAAAGGATAATTTAGGTGAGTTTTTTGGCAGATGGGGTTCTTCAAATACCTACAAGGCCAAGGGATGTTAGGGTTTTTTGCACTGGTGAGAAAACCTGTTCCCATTTGGCAAATTTTTGTATAGAGTATTGGATGACTCCGAATGTTGTAGCAATTCTGAGTAACTGGAGAAGAGAACAATAAAATTAAGCATAAAATTTGTCGCATCATTAAATAAACAGTTTGCATTTAACTTAACTACATATATAATTTTGAGATTAAATGTATATTTTCAATATTAATTGATTAGATTTAAAAAAAAAAAGAATACCATATCATAATTAAATTAAAAAAAATTTTACTTTCAAGAGAAAAAATATAAAAGTGTAACATTTAAATGTTTGATTTATTGATTGATATATAATTTTTTTAAATATAAAAAAAAATTACAATATTGCAGCTTTGTAGCTTACGGAAAAGACATTGGATAAAATCTCATGTGGCATATAGGGAGTAGTAACAATAGGATTTGTCTCAAAAGATTAACAATTGGACTCGCATATACTAAAATACCAGAAACAATTCATTTTACAATTAATCCAATCGTTGCTTAAGACATTTTGGCATTGTACGTCACATGGCACCAAAGTAAAGTGATGTTAATTCAGTCACTTAATGAATTTTTGTCATATACTTGTAACGAAAGATAATTGATTAGTAGCAATGGTATACTAGTTTCTTACTTTCTTTGCAGACTGAAGGATCCACTTGTCTTTTTTTTTTTCTTCAAATGCAGTTTTTTGTCTCCCTTTTCTTTATTTTAAAAACTGTATATTCAATTATTTTTCCATTTTTTATATTTTCAGATAATTATAACTTTTTATTTTATTTTAATATTTATTTAAACATTAAAATTATTTATTGCTTCACTCAGGGATTGGATGTATATTTGACCTTTTTTTTTTCTAGACTTTGATATTATCACACAAACTATCAGAAAGATTAAGATTAAAAGAAAATTTCTCTATTCTGTATTTGATTTGATGTTAGCAATTCTTCTACTGTCTACCCTTAATACTTAATACATCCTAAACCCTAATAAATTATTTAATGAAGCGAAAAAATACATCTCAACTAACATCCACAACTAAATCAATTTCATTATCTACGCCAATTGCACTCGCCCGAGTGTAAAGATGTGGAACAAGTCGAGAGTAGAATCGTTTCAAACAGAAAGAAATAATGAAAACACTAAAAGATTATATTGATATAATTGCTGGTTTTAACCTAAAATTGATTATATTCTGACTGGTAAGATCGCCGACATTTGAGTTAGGGGTCTGAGGTTCGAAACCTGCACTTTTCATTTTTCTGAAATTTTTTTTGGTTTTTTGGTTTCCTTCTTCATCAACCTGAAACTGCAACCACCATGGATCAGGACGGGCCTTCTTCTGGCAGCCGAAAGGTAGTAATACTAAAATTCATTTCTCAGTTGTTTCAATTTTCTTCCACGATTTTTGATTCAGTCAAATTTCGAGATCCAGATGTGAGTCCTGATACAGATCTTATCTTTCTGCAGGTTCGGTTTGCTCCTAAAGCTCCTCAATCTTCAAGAAGGCCCAAAACCACTGTATCCAAATCGTATTATTCCCGCTTCTACTATTTCCCTTTTTTCCTTTTTGTACTACTCCTATTTCTTTTATTTTTATTATTATTATTATTATTAATGCCTTTTTTTTAACCAAATAAAAACAAACTTCATCGTTAAAATGCAGTGAAGTGAACGCTGAAGATGGAGAAGCTGCTCAAGCGCAGTATCTTCTTGGACGTTTCAACGTACGTACAAATTTTTATTACCGTACCGTGTCGAATGTTTTTAGACGAAGCTCTTTCAATCAATACTAATTTTTCTGGATTGCGTTTCCCTTCAAATTCTGTTAATGTCATCCTTGTTTGATCCATTTCCCCGTGAATATATTGATTTTAATATTTTTGACACTAGGGAGTGTTTGGGTCTTGATTTTTTTCTTTTGACCGTATAAATAGTAGTCCCTTCTCTTGCTTTAATCCATGGAGCAAACATGGTTATAAATTTCTTTTCCTTTCTTTTCTTTTTCCTTTTATTTTATTAATTACTATAGTACTTTATTTACCTTGACAAGTGGGGAGGGGTAAGGGAAGAAATAAATCAACAATATTATTATGGTGTCAGAAATCGGATAAATTTCCATTCAATTAAGAGTGTGCCGAAAGTGGAGTACCAATGCGGGCCTTAGAGTGTTAAATGGCATTGATTGGGCTAATTCTTGAACATGCTTGCTTATACCCCTGATTTTTGGTATCCTTACAAGCTGTGATTGTCATTTTATTCATTCACATTTGTGCCTGCTTTGTCAAATAGTAAACAGGTTATAACTTCCCCGTTTTGATTTTCTCCCTATTTCATTCTAATACTAAAAGTTAATACCTTTCGATAAACTCTTTCATTCTATTTGAAGCAGATAGTTTGTGATCTATTTGAACCCAACTTGTACATATTCCTGAACCCAAAACTCATTTTGTTTGTTGTTGCATTTTGCAGGAGAATCAAACGCGACAAAGGCCTAAAGTTGAAAAGAAATGTAACCCTCATTAGCTTTTCTTTCATAACTTTTGCATGATATGTTATTGGTCATCCTATCCTGGTGTGAATTAGTCCAGAATCATAGTTACAGTGTGATGATAGTGGAGCATATATACGATAAATGCTGCCAGTGATTACCCTGCACATCTCCTTATATACATATGAAGTGTTCTATAGTTTCTCTAGGTATTTTCTGCTAGGTAGTCAAGGTGCCTGATTGGTGGCTAGGTCTATCCTCCAAAAGTTTAAATCCTTCCTTGCCTACTTGAGCTGAGTAGCACAAAATCTGTGAAGATAGATTATGATACTTTTCAGCAGAAGATTAACAAACTTCTCCAGAGGGTGAGTGAAAGGACTACAATTGTGAGGTTACAGAATGCATTCAGGGAAGATCCTTGATAAGCTAACTTAAAAGGCAATGTAATCTAGGTATGATTAATAAAACCAAACCTTTGTGGTAGGAAATGCTCAATCTATTGTTGTGGTTTAGATACATTTACATGCTGAAGGACTACCAGCTCCACCTTTAGATTAATTAGCCACACTATGGATCAGGATTTAGGAGGTATAATTGTCAGAGAAATATAGTCGTTTTTTGATAGAGCAGAACTGTTTTTTTTTTTTTTTTGAAAAGCATTCGATGAAATTTCATTACTTAATGGATGTGTACAAAAAGCTACCTCATTTTGGTAGTATTGCAGCAAAAACATATACAAAAAGCTACATCAGAATTGTTAAGACGATACTGATAACAAATTGTCCATAAAGTTGGGGGTGAGTGTTCATTTGGGTGGACTGGACTTAGTTTAAGGTTGAGAAATATCATATGTTTTTACCGTATAAGACTTGCCATAACAGAATCATGTCATATCATTTATAGTGTTAGAAGGAGATTTCCAGTTTAAACAAAGGAATATAAAGTTTCATTGTTTTTCATACTGCTATATAATGCAAACAGCTAATGTTCACATTCCAACGCTGCAGCTTCCGCGCAAATTGCTTTTGGTCCTGGAGCCCCCTCATCAAATTTATTGAGGACATATGGTAGTCAAAGGGGAGGGACTTCTGGTAAAAGTACTGACTCAAGGCAGAGAAGTCATGGTGATAATGATGGGCAGATCATTGGTTCTTTGCCTTCAGCTTCCAAAGAAGATAGGACAGATATATGTTCTTCAGATGCTATTGAAGCATCAGCACCAAAAATAAAGAGAGAATACTGTGAACCATGGGTAAAAGTTTGCTCATTGTATGTGTGTTTAAGACTGAGTGCACAATTTGTGCATGCAATTCCTCTGATACTGCTGAGTTCCATGATCGCATTGCAGGATTACCATCACTCTTACTATCCTATCACCCTTCCTCTCAGGAGACCTTACTCTGGTGACCCTGGTATGCTTTCTGAATATAAGATGAAGATTCCTAGATTAGAGGGATATCTATTACCTTCTCCTGTAGAAAGAGATACTATTCCTTGTCTTCGAATGCTTTTGGGAATCTTATCAGCGAGTCAAATTTTTACCCACATCAAACAAAATGAACTTTAGAATCACCTTCATATTTACCTGGTGACAATGTTAGATCTTTTAAGTGATGCTTGAAACCCAACCGACAAGGACAAAAAGATTAACTCTAAAGATTAATCTTGCAAAAATAATAGTGGTAATAATAGAAGGGCTGAGATGACTCTTGAAATTTGAGATGCTATTATTCTTTACATGAATGAAGTCTGTGCTTGGTGTACAATTCATTGCCTCTGAGGTGCAAAATTTGTATACACACTACATGTATTTTTTTGGTTATTACATTTTGCTCGTTTTATTTGCTGAGCATGTTTTCTTGTTTTGCCTGTAGAACTTCTTGATGAGGCAGAGTTTGTAGAGGCTGCTAGAAAGGAGTATGATGAGAAAACTATTAATCCTGCTTCAGATCTGGGGCTACTGGTTAGTAATTAGATTAATATTCCAGTCTCCTAAGTTAGATATATTTGACAAAGTTATCTACAACAAATGATCATTGGTGACAGGAGGAAGGTGAGAAAGGAAA